GCGGCCAGGCTGGCCCCGGGCCGGGCCACCGTAGCCAAGCCATGCCCCTTTAAGGGCTCCAGGGCCAGGAGAGGGGCAGACGAGTTTCCCTGGTGGTGCCCACCACACAGTGATCCTCTGTGACTGGGTTGGTGGCAGCTCATTTATGGATAGATTCAAACTACTTAATTCGAACTACTTAATTCGAACTTGGCGTTAGTCCTCATAGAATGAGGTTTACCTAGTTCGAATTAAGCACTCCGCTAGTTCGAATTAAGTTCGAACTAGCAGTTTGTACGTGTAGCACCTATCAAAGTTAATTCGAACTAACGTCTGTTAGTTCAAATTAACTTTGTAGGGTAGACATACCCAGAGAGAGTGTATTCACACAGCCTTGGGGGGCATGAAATGTCTTCAATTATTCTTTCCTTGTAGATATTTTGTAAAGTCCCGAAAAGCCTTTATGAAACTGCTAGTACAAGGTTTCAGCAAAAGGAAAGTTAATCTCAACATGACCCATGCAATAATCCACACCTTTCAGACTAACAAAGACAATGCCAAATTATACGACTCTCCAAGATATTCAGCTAACCAGAGTGGCTCATTCCACTTCCAGGAAGATACAGGACGCAACACTGCAGAATTCTTTGGCTAAGCACAAGAACTGGTGATTCTTTGGATTCATGTGATCTTAGGAAATACTTCTAAATAAAAGGTTAGTAAAAGAAAAACTTTCCCCCTCTAATATCAAAACATGGAGGAGGGAGGGAACTTGGATTGCACATTAATATTTTCAAATGAAATTGGCAAATAAGACAGTACTATCCCCCATTCTCAGGCAGAGTGCTGCTGTCAGATGTAAGTCACATCAAGGAACAATAAACAGTTCTAGAACAAAAGGGAAAGCAAAGGAGATCTGGAGGAGGAGCTGGCAGAGACCCACTATTTGAAGACTTTCTTGGGAGTTTCATGTTAGCAAAATTTACCTCTGTTAGTCGTCAGGGCGTACGGTGAGGGAGCAGAGATGCCGCGGCCCTTCTGCTCTGCCCCATCCTCTCCTCGTGTCTGATCGTCACTGTTCTTCATTTCCTGTCCTCTACATACCCCACCACCACCCACATCTTTATTTAGCGCCGGAAGCCTGAGAATCAAACACGTGTAGTTACAGGACTCAGCGAAAGCTACCATGTTAGATGTAGTCCTGGCCTCGCTGGAAGGTTTAACATGAACTACACTGAACTCATACATAGAGCTCAAAGTGCTGTATCAGGGAAACAGGTGGGGAAACTGAGGCACGGGAAGGTGGGAATGGGAGTGTCCTGAAGTCACCCAGCAGGACAGAGCCAAGAATAGAAGTCAAGTCTTTGTCTATACATTCAGCATTAAAACACTGAGCGCACGGGGTGATTTTTTACACCTCTAAGCAATGTTCCCTCTAATTATTTTCATTTGTGTGCGCCATAAATATTGTTATGTGCACTGAGGTATGTGTGGATATGCATCACCAGTGGCAACACCTATTCCCGGCTATGGGCACTGTGCTCCTCAGCTGGGCTGCATGTAAATGAAGGGTAGCGGTGGTCGGAGACTCTCTTCTAAGGGGGACGGAGGTGCCCATCTGTCGCCCTGACATTTCATCCCAGGAGGTATGCTGTCTGCCGGGGGCCGTATCCAAGATTTTACGGAGGCATTGTCGAGGATTATCCGGCCCTCTGACTACTACCCCATGCTACTCATCCATGTGGGCACAAATGATACTGAGAGGTGTGACACTGAGCGGATCAAGAGTAACTACAGGACACTGGGGGTATGTCTAGACTACAGGCTTTTGTCGACAGAAGTTTTGCCAACAGATACTGTGGACAAAGCTTCTGTCAACAAAGAGCATCTAGACTACATCCAGTTCTGTCGAAAAAGCAAGCCGCTTTGTCGACATGAGAGCGTAGACGCAAAGGACAGTGTAGATGCAATAACGCCTTCTGTCGACAGAACTCTGTCCACAAAAGGCGTTATTCCTCGTAGAATGAGGTTTACCACTTTCGACAAAACACCTTATGTCGACAGAACTTGGCGGTAATGTAGACACAGGTATAGTTTTGTTGACAAAAGTTCACTTTTGTCAACAAAACCCTGTAGTCTAGACACATCCTACGTTTCCTCCCCCTGCCAAGGGCATGCGTGCAGCTAGAGAGAAACACCAGCGGTTTTAAAACAGCTGGCGATTCTCTCTGGGGAAGAGGGAAACTTCACATGCACCCCCACCCCCAGGCCAATCAAGGTCTGTGGGTGAGGGAGCAGAGAAGTCTCCTGACCCCACCCCTTCAGACTGTCACTTCTTGAACCATATTTTAGGGGAAGGAGACTCTGCTTATAATACACAGAAAACCAGAAGTTGACTCTGACCCCACCCCTTCAGACTGTCACTTTTTGAACCACATTTTAGGGGAAGGAGACTCTGCTCATAATACACAGAAAACCAGAAGTAGACCTGGTGAGACAAATGGGCGGTCTCCAATACCACTACTAGAAGACACCCAGATATTTACAAATGGAATGTATTTAGCATCCTGTGCAATTTACATGTTCTTTATATCTGAAGCATCTTTACTGTTATTTTCAGAGCTGCTTGGCTTGCACCTGGCACGGGCACTGTAGCCAGCCCGTGCCCCTTTAAGGGCTCCGGGGCCAGGAGGGGGGCAATAGGGTTTCCCTGGTGGTGCCCAGAGTGGCCACCAGGGCAAGCTGGGGAGGGCTAGCCTCCCACTAGTTCGAATTAAATATTTTCTACTGTGTTTTGAGTTCCCGCCTGCCAGGGTCTAGAGTTTGACAGCTGAGCTACTCTATTCAATTGCCTGTATTTCTCCCAAACATTGTAAAGTCATGGCTTTTGAATGGAAGAAAATGTTGAAGACTTCAATACATGAGGAGATCACTATTAATTTACCTCTGAATATTTCAGTAACCTTCAGGTTCCCATTGTTGCATTCTACCAAAACGTGCTAGATATATAGGGAGGGATAGTTTAATTATTCAGTTGATGATTAAGGTTAATGGATTATAGCAAAGGAGACTTACTTGTCTGATGACCATTTCCCTTGACTGAGTCCATGCAACGTATTTCATCAGCCAGAAAGGTCAACAGTGACAAAGGTGTTGATAGCAAAGGGCTCTTCAAGTGGTTTGTTTGAGAGAAATCTTGTTTTGCAAGTTCACCAAGTGAAATACAGCAATAGGTTTATAAAGAAGGGGCCTGTTTCTGAGTGAAAAAATTAAATCACTTGTTGGGGAGGGTAGCATTAAAAACCAGCAACATATTGGAGCTGCTTAGGGCTAACAATGAAATAGAGTTATCTGCTTTGAGATAGAACGGTGTAGAAAGACATGCTTTTGTATCTATAGTAAAGAGCAGAAATTTCCCAAATAAGCAGAGAGAAATCTGTAGAAAAGAGGTATTTTCACTGAGCAGTTGAGAAAGCCAAGTACCCATCAAAACCTCCTGTCTTTTTTTATACATTAAAATACCTAAAGCATGTGTCCCAGAAATTCTCAAGAAAGCAGGGTGCTGAAGTAGCCCTTAAAAGTTCTGAACTATAGCTCAAAACAAAAAGACCATTGCCTAGCTCATGGGTGGGCAAAGGGGTCTCTATGGGCTGAATCTGGCCTGCCAAGCCAATGGATCCAGATAGCTGCCGCCCTACTGTTCCCCTGCCTCCAAGCCAATTGAGACCTTGGGACAGGGGAGCACACAAAGGGTACGTCTAGAATACAGGCTTTTGGCGACAGAGGCTTTGTCAACAGATACTGTCGACAAAGCTTCTGTCGACAAAGAGCGTCTAGACTACATCCAGTTCTGTCGAAAAAGCAAGCTGCTTTGTCGACATGAGAGCGTAGACGTGTAGACACAGGTATAGTTTTGTTGACAAAAGTTCACTTTTGTCAACAAAACCCTGTAGTCTAGACACATCCTATGTTTCCTCCCCCTGCCAAGGGCATGCGTGCAGCTAGAGAGAAACACCAGCGGTTTTAAAACAGCTGGCGATTCTCTCTGGGGAAGAGGGAAACTTCACATGCACCCCCACCCCCAGGCCAATCAAGGTCTGTGGGTGAGGGAGCAGAGAAGTCTCCTGACCCCACCCCTTCAGACTGTCACTTCTTGAACCATATTTTAGGGGAAGGAGACTCTGCTTATAATACACAGAAAACCAGAAGTTGACTTGGTGAGACAAATGGGCGGTCTCCAATACCACTACTAGAAGACACCCAGATATTTACAAATGGAATGTATTTAGCATCCTGTGCAATTTACATGTTCTTTATATCTGAAGCATCTTTACTGTTATTTTCAGAGCTGCTTTAATAAGAACAAATAGTGCCACTATGAATCTGTAAGACTCTGACTATTGTCCAGTATCAGAGTCAAATAATTCTTCTGAGAACTAAAACAGAGTCACACCTCCAATAAAATAAACAAATGATATTACAAAGAGTACCACAAATGAAATGTTGATCCCTTTATTTCATTCTCTTCATTTGCTCAGGACTGGCATTAGTCTTTTAAGAAGTTTCATCAAAGAAATGGCTGAATTATGGTAACAATCACTATAGAATCCTTTAAGTCTGTTACAAGTGCTTCATAATCTTCTTTCAAGTAACATTATATTTGCTTATTGGCTAGATTTTTGGAAGCAGCTGCCCAGACTACAAAAGCAATAGCCTTTTTTAGTGAGAAATGCAATCATCCTCTTCAGGAGGATTAGCTTAAAAATCTTCTGTCTTCCCACGCTTTTTCCCCCCTGAAATTTAGGACAAACCCTGCTGAAATACTCTTTGCAGAAAAAGTCAACACACACCTCTAATAACTGCTGAATAGAAGCCCCTAATCACCACCACACTCATTTTAAAGTGATTTTTTTAAAATCCACCAAATCAAAGAGGACCAAAAAGAAAAAAGAAACCGGAGCCTCTTCAAAGAAAAAGTGAGAAATCTTCTTGGTTGAATTCTCCAATTTAGTGTGCATATATGACATACACATTCTCAGCTATTTTTGTTAGCTCAGTGTGCTAAATTCTGTTTTTCTCCTAGCACAGTTGGAAAGCTTTGCAGACTGCAACAAGTCAAGGAACCAGCAAATGGAGACACTAGCTTGAAAAGGTTGAAGGTGAAAAAGGAAGTGAAGGAAGAGAGTGCTCCTTTGACTAACTAGTTGAATTTGCAGAGAATAGAATTACCAAAGAAATATCCCACTTTAGGAAAAGAGGATCAGACTGAGAAATTAAATGGAACAGGGAGAAAAGCCTGAAATATTAGAAGCAAAGGGGGAAAAAAGGAACCAAGGTAGTAAAGGGAAGGGGGTGATGGTAGTGAAATATAGATAGGAACCTGTCATCTCAAAGAACCTCCATCTACAGATACATACAATCCATTTCATCAAGTGATGATCCCTATGTGAATTCCACATACAGGAGATTAACAAGCCGTCAAAACAGGTGGTGGATGCAAAGATGCACAAGTGATATTGATTGTAGTACTGCTGTTCACATAATCATAACCACAGCTTATGACTGTACAAAGGATAATGACTCATAAAGGAATACAAAGAGCTCCAAAGAGTTGCCCTATGTATCTCTAATATGGGTACATTTGTCAGGAATGCAGATAAAGAAGCTTGCCCCATGGGGAAATGAGACTTCTGGGGGTAGAGAAAGAGGAATGCGCCAGTGTAGGTTTATCTCTTTATCATTCTGCTATGGAAACAAATAATTTAGGTGTCTTTCTACCATCCTTTTTTCTTTACAGATAAAAAGACTGAAACCCTCCAGACATCCAGAAAATGTGGTCTTCTCTACTCTTCTGACACGTGATATAGGAAAAGATACAGGTAAGCAGATGACCAGATTTGTACAAAACTTGGAAACTTCTTTGGGTACGAACTGGAAGCAGAAGCATAGCAAGAACTCTTCTTTATAGGAAAGTAGAATATGGCGAGTCCACCCATAAGCACTCCCTGCTTTGTGACTCATCTGGCTGACGTTCCAGCTTGTCAAGGTGATTCTCCACTCTGGCACTTTCAGTGCAGAAGGTGGGGACCTGCAAGAAACCTCATAATACAGTGCCACTAAAGTTTTATTTAAAAAAACTCCCCAAAGTCACAAAGTCCCTGTCTTTGGGTAGTACTCTGCCACCAACCAAAAGCAAAAACCACTTAAAGCTAGGAAGAAACACTTGATAACTTCTCCCTGTGAGGTAACCCCAAGCCCTTAACTCTCCTTTAGAAGACAGCTTGAAAACAAACTGTACTCTGAATAGCTGACCTTCAGTTCAGGTACATGGACACAGAACCTTCTGTCTTCTAAGACACAGGAATTAGATTATAGTCATTAAAAAGTGATTTTATTAACAAAACAAAGATGATATATTTTGTAAAGTTTACTTGATTGCTAGGTGTTACAGAACAACTAAAAACATTAAAGCACAGAGAATTGCTTCCCTGCATTTCAGTTACAGTGTAGAGGGATTTTTCACAAAGTAGTTTAACCAACTAGAATACAAAATAACCGGATCATGTCCAACTAAAAGCATTCCCTGTTCTACTTACACCTCTGTTGTTCCAAAATTTAGGTCATTTCAAAAATCTTTCTCTCTCTTTCGATTGGCTGTACTGGCTCCCTGCCAACACTTCCTGGTTACACACTGTTCTGGGTTTAACCCTTTAGTTATTTAATGCTGGGATGTTTAGAAAAGGATCATACCCCTTCCATCTATCATACAGCTACTCTTTGTGGACAAATGGATCATGGAGCATATGGCTAGCTGCTCAAAGGGAGACTTGGCGAAAGACAATAAAACAAAACTAAGGTCATGCTGAGGTGTGGACTTCACTGGTGGAAAGGATCTGAGAATCCCCTTCAAAAAATCTACCTGTGACAGGGTCCATAAAAGATACGGTTATCCACTGGGCAATGAAAAGCATTGATAGCTGCTAGATGCACCTGAGGGGAACTGAATTCAAGACCCAAAGACTTAAAAGATAAGTAATATATAACAAAATATCAGGGATTTCTCTGGAATCTGGTGACAAATCACGCTGATGAGCCCAGGTGGAAAAGAGCTCAATTCCATTTAGTTAAGTAAAATATTCGTTTAGAGTCTTTTCTACTTCAGTCAAGGATGTCTCTTGGAACATGAGCTTTCTGCCTTTGATACCATCCAAGTACCAACTTCTGAGTTGCCGTCACCCCAGATTGGGGGTACATTATCTTGCTTCTGTGTTTTGTTAGAAGGGTAGGATGTTCATGGGAGGTTACACTGAAAGCTTGAACAGATCCATGAACCAGAATGGCCTCGGTAAGCAGAACTGTGAGGACCAGTTAGGTGTGATGAGGATGACTTGAGTTCTGTCTTGATGGATTTTCTGCAAAACTTGTGGTATCAAAAGAATTGGGAGGAAAGTATTCCCCTGGCACCCTCCTATGAAATTAGGAGGGCATCTATCAATGAATCTTTGCTGAGGGTTGCTCTAGAGAAGTACCGAGGAAGCTTCCTATTCATCTGTGAGAAGAAGCAACAGGCCACTATTACCCACTGGGCAAAAAGTTTGTTGAGATCATCATCATGAATCTGCCATTTATGATTTGTGGAAAAGTATCAGCTCAAATTGCTAGGGACTTTTGCACTCTGATAAACATGCTGTTGATCAAGTTATGCAATGTTTGATGCACAAGTTCCAGAGGATGGCTGCCTCCCCACACAAAGAGCTCTCGTTCCACCTTGTTTATATAAAAGACTGTTGTTATATTGTCCAACATTAGCTAAATGTGTTTGGATTGGATGAATGGGAGGAAATCATTACAGGCCTGATGCACCACCCCCAGTTCATGTGCATTCTGGACTCCCGGGAGTCCTGACATCTTGTGCCATATAATTGCTCATGTGCGCACCCCTATTCAAGAGTGCTGGTAACAATGGTTGCCTCGAGTGCTAGTGAGAGGAGCTCTTTCAGGTTTTGTCCACAAGAAAAGAGAGCTTAATACCCTGGGCAGAACTGTGCCCTTGTTATGGAGGCTACGTCTAGAATACAGGCTTCTTTCGGAAGAAGCTTTTTTCTGAAGGAAAGAGAGTGTCTACACAGCAAAAGTTTCATTTTCATATTCATACTTTTGCATGCCTCCTTCTCTGAATGAGATTTATTCGGCCAAAGAGCTTAGCACCTTTGGCCAACATATTGTGAAGGGACTATTTAAGTTGAATGACAATGGGCCTTGGATAATGCCAATCCATATCTTCTTCACCTTCCTGAGGAATGTTTACACTAGCATGTGGGCAATAGCTTCCACCTGCAAAGAACTGAGTCATGCACAGACAGGTGATTTACCTATTTTATGACTCATGATCACACAATCATCATGCTGTACTTTTCCACAGCAAAAACAATGGGAATCCCTGCACATGGGAGAAGATGGGGGAATGCCTCCATTTTACCTCTTTCCTGCTGCAGCTTATCTTTCCTGTTCAAGCTTCTGAACTATGGATTTATACCAATGAGAACATTCTAAAAAAAGGAACAAAGTCCTTTAATTGCGTTGGAAGTAACCAGAGACTTGGTTTGAGCTAGCAGTTTAGTTCATCACTGCTACCAGCCTGAACCAAGAACTTGCAATTATTGTAGGTATTTGATTATTTGAACAATTTTAACTCTCACCTCTGTTTCTTTCTTTTATGAATAAACCTTTAGATTTTAGAAACGAAAGGATTGTCAATAGTGTGATTTTCGGGGTAAGATTCTAAGTTATATACTGACCTGGGAAGTGACTGATCCTTTGAGATCATAAGAGCCTTTTATTTGATGAGATTGGTTTTCATAACCACTCATACATATAAGGAGTGGGGATACTGGAACTGGAATGAATGAGGGAACTGCTTGTATGACTTATTGTTAGCCAGTATGGCAAAACAGAGTTCTTTTGTGACTGGTTTGGTGAACCTCGTACATGGAGGAATCCCAATCTATGGGCTGACTGCCCTTTTTCTCGGCAATTTGTACTCTCAGTAGTGTCACACCAGAGCATTCCTTGCTACACCATGTATGATGGCACTCTCAACTTTGAAGGGTCAGAGAACGATCCTTTGTTTTCAGAATAATTTTAGAAAAAGATGGCTTGCTTTGCCAACTTATGGAGTGCCCCTTACTCTCCTGTGAAGCCTTCTCTTTAATCTTAACAGATCTAGCCTTTGTGCCAGTGTTCCCTCTAAGATTTTCCATCTGTGAGTAGAGTGAGTTTTGTCTTGTGCTCCAATATTGATGTCATGTGTGCTTGTTCGGATGTGTGCCGCCATGGCACCCACCAGTTACTAACAAAAAAATTGTTTATACTTATAAAAACTGTTATGGAAGAAAGCCCCACTTACTGTGCAGATGCATTAGCTCCTGCCCCATATTCTGCCCTGTAACACAGCTATTCTGCGTTTCCTCCTCCCTGCCCCACTGCTCCCTCCTTCCTTCAGCTGCCCCCAGCCCCTGCAAACATTGAACAGCCTCCTCGAGGCTCTCATGCAAGTAGTGAGTGGAGCCCAGCAACAGCTCCAGCTCCCTTAGATTCCATTACAGCCACTTCCCCACCCTGCAGCTGGGCTCAGGAGTTCAGACAGACTTTAGGCTGGACCCTGGGAACAAGCATCTCAGCAACACTGCGCCTGTATCTCTTCTTAGGCGGCTGAGGCTAGAGCCCAGGGAGAATCCCCACTCAGTCTAATGCAATGGACTGTGCTTCCTGGGGAACATGTGTAAGAGCGCGGGTCTTACACTAGAATATTGACTGCACTGATATGGACCAGTGGGTTTGAACAACCTGCCTCACCTGCAGCCGCCTCCAGATGTAACTGCCACCAGGCGGATTTGAACCTAGAACCTCTGAAGTTTAGTATAGGAACTTCTACCCTCTGAGCTAAAAGCCAGCGAGTTAGCTCCCAGCCCATGCTGTAGAGGTCTCTTGGTCTTATCTGTTGCTGTGGTCTAGGTGCCACTACATGGGACAGTGACGCATACTAGGGGTATGTCTAGACTACATTGTTTTTTTGAAAGAGCTCTTTCGAAAAACGGTGTGTGTGGACACAGAACAGGGATATTTTTTGAAAGAAGAGGCAATCGAAAAAAAAGCACAGGTGCCCTGGTGGCCATTCTGTGAATAGCAATCAGGACTTTCTTTCAAGAGAGTGCTCATGCAGTCTGGATGCTCTTTCAAAAAAGCAGATCGCTTTTTAGATCCTATTTTGAGGTGTGGATGCTCTCTATTGAAAGAAGTTTGCAGTCTACACATACTGTAGGTGTTTGGATTACACAGACACTACAGAATTGCTGCATTCCCCCTCCCTCCATCCCTCAGCTGCTTGGGTCTTTCTGGACTGAAGTCGGGCAAATACACCACCCTGAGCCAGGCCAAAAAAAAAAAAAAAGAAAGAAAGAAAATCCCCGGAGGCAGCAGCCGCCCACCAGCCATGTGGTCCCAATCCCTGGTGGCAGCCACACCCCTGCCACACAACCACAGCAGCAGCCAGCCACCCTCAACGGCCCCGCCCCCGGCGCAG